CGACCCCCAAATAGTGTAAAAAAAAAAAAAAAGCAGCATGGGGGCAGCTGGGCCATGCACCCCCTTGCTGCTTGCTCTAGCCCAGTGTTTCTCAACCAACGGTACGAGTACCCTTAGGGGCACTTGAGAGAAGTCTGGGGGGTACGTCAGCACAACTGAAACTTGGAGAAAACGGAATTTTTGTTTTAAGTTTTACGGCGCTTTCTTATTTTGGTACTTTTTACACCCAAAAATGTCATTGCCTACCCAGCTACGATTAAGTTGTTTAAACAAATGTGTTGCAATAGTAGAAGAAAATTGTGTGTGTCGGAAAACTGTAGGTCCTGGGGGTGCTTACAATTTTTTTAAAGGGTACTTTATAAGAAAAGGTTGAGAAACACTGCTCTAGCCCATCTCATGTTGTTCTTTTCAAGGGGGCAGGACAGACACCATGCCTGACTCTCAGCCCTCCCTGTGCTAGCCCGGGGGGGTCATCCCGGCCAGGGAGCCCCCAGCCACGTCTACGATGTCGGCGCCGGATGCAGCGCAGGCCAGCATGGAGGCTACGCCTGCCCCCGAGGTGTCGTGGGTGTGGATGTGGATGGGCATCTCAGGGAAGTGCTGGCGCAACGTCCCCACCAGCAGCTCCGAGGCACCTGGCATCAGCAGCCCAGCCATGTCCTGCAAAGGAGGAGTCAGAGTGGGCATGGGGGGCAGGAACAGGTGAAGAGGGGGGCTGGGAGGGGTGAATGGGGTAGGGAGCAGGGAAGGTGCAGGGGAAATCAGGTGGGGGGGCAGAGATGAGGGCCAGGGCTGTGGGAGGGCTGCAGCAAGAGGGGCTAGGGAGGAAAGTAGGTAGGGTGAGCTCTCTCCAGACACCCTCCAAGTGCCAAGATGCCCTCAAAGGGCAGCTTCTCAACTCACTGATATCCTGGGCTATGGGTCCCTCCTCCCACTGGGCTCTGCTCCCCAGTGCTGCTAGTGCCCCTCATCCACCTTCTGCAGCCCCTGGGCTCCCCGGGGTACCTTGATGCAGAGGATGTGCGTCCCAGCTTTCACCAGCTCCTCAGCCAGCTGGACATAGTAGTCCAGGGAGTATTTGGTGCGGGTGGGGTCGGCCACGTCTCCCGTGTAAGAGATTGCTGCCTCCACCACCCCCCCGGCTTGTCCCGCCGCCTCCATTCCCAGCAGCATGTTGGGCAGGTAATTGAGGGAGTCAAAGACGCGGAAGATGTCCATGCCGTTCTCCTTTGCCACTTCACAGAACCTGGGGGATCAGGGGAGTCCCGGTGAGTCTTGGGGGAGAAGGAGCCCCACCTCACCCCAGGGCCCACATGCCAGCCGGCCTTGTGGAGTTATCCCTGCTGAGCAAGCCCCACAGGGCTGGCGTCAGGGTGAGTCAGTCAGGAAACTCTGGAATCCCATCCCCCTTTCTCATCCATAATTCTCCTCCCCTGAGGGGGTCTGAAGCCCTGGCCCTCAATCCTAGCTCGCAGCCCTCTGCTAGCCCAGTGGTGGGCTCCCCTCCCCACAGCTCCGCTGCCGCCGTGTCACCCCGCCCTGCGGCTCACTTGAAGACGGAGTTGTCGGGGTAGTTGGTGTACCCCACGGCGTTGGCCCCCCGCAGCAGCATCTGGAAGGGGATGTTGGGGATAAGCTCACGGAGCTCCTGCAGCCGCTGCCACGGGCACTCGTACAGGAAGCGCATGGCAACGTCAAACGTGGCACCTGGGGTCAGGGCAGAGAGGGGAGAAGGTGACACCTGGCCCTGGTGTTGCCCACAAGTCCTCCCCTCCAGTCCCATGGGGGATGTTTCCTAGAGGGGAAAGGCCTAGTGTCCCATTCCCCACCTCCCTGAGCCATCCAGTCCACCTGCCCTGGGTCTGGATCAGAGCCAGTGCCCGCTAGAGGAGAAAGGCCCCAAGTCCATTCTCTGTTGTGTCTCCGCAGCCCACCAATTCCCACCCTAGGGCCAGGTCAGAGCCAGCGCCCCCTGGAAGGGGAAGGCCCTGTGTCCTGCTCTTACCTCCCCAGTTCTCAATGCTGAAGAGGTTGTTGAAGTTGTGGGCCACAAAGGGTGAGATCTTCTTGAGGTCATGTGTACGGACGCGGGTGGCCAGCAGGGACTGGTGGGCATCCCGGAAGGTCGTGTCCATGAGCAGCAGCCCTGGGTGCTGCCGCACAGCCTTGGCAAAGCCCTGGGGTCCTTCCCGGAGCAGGATATCTCGGAAGCCTATGGGGGCGTCTCCTGGAAAGGGGGCAGGGGGTTAGAGAAGTGGATTCAGCCTCTGTAGAGTTCCAGAGAGACCCCTGCACCACTCCCTGAAGCACCCCAGGGTACCGTTAGTTAGTCTGCGAGGAGTCACTTGGCCTCAGTACTGCTGGGGCTAGGGGGTGCTCTTCTGCAAGGAGTGGGTGGGGATTCGGGGGCACTATTCCCCTCCTCACAGTCAGTGCTGACTCCAGCACGGTGCTAGAAGGCCCTGTGGGATCAGGGTCTCAGGTGGTGTCTCAGCACCAGCGAGGGGTCCTTAAATAAACAGCCTTCATGCTCCACTCCAGAGGTGGCTGCATCTCAGCACCGGGCCAGAGATCCCTGTATGTGCCATGCTGACACCTAGCAAGTCTTTTCTGACTCTAACTAGTCTGGAACAAGCACCATGAAGTGGCTTTGACAGCTGAGCCGTGGGCCTGATGTTCCCAGCATGTATGTGACTGATGCGCAGGGCTGGCTTTAATTAGCCAGCATCGCAGCCACGTCTGGTTATTATCGCAGTTTATTTCTTTGTCGGCTTCTAATCCCCAGCCTGAACCAGTATTACGAGAATGAACTACGGAGGCTTAAATCTCATTAAGGTTCTCCCGAGCAGCCTGTTAAATCTGTTTTAAGAGCTGATAGACCCTAACTGCTCCCTCCCCAGGCCGGGGAGCAGCCGGGAATAGAATACAGCGCAGCTAATGATTTGCTGGGCAGCATGGCTAATGGGGCAAGCAGCCTCCGAATTGCGAACACTGATTTCCAACCCTTCCTGCTCCACCCACTAGATCCTACTGCCCTCAGGAGGGACGAACAGGGCAGAGAAAGGCCCTGACTCCCAGGAGTGGGGGAGAAAGTGAAGTCCAGCCACAAGGGGAGAATGGAGTACAGACAGGATCTTTCGAAATGGGGCTTTCCCAAAAAAGCCCCATTTTGAAAAAAAGCAGTGGCTGCCTTTATGCAAATGAAGCACGGGAAATTCAAATCCCGGCTTCATTTGCAATATCGATGTGCCTAATTTACATCCCTTTACTGAAAAAGGGATGTAATCCAGACACGGCCAGAGAGCCCAGGCATCCTCCCCCCTCACTCCATCCATGGGGAATGGAGAGGGGTGGGGCTGAGGAACAGAATGGGATGGAGCTGTAGGGTGAGGGAGGGGCCCTGCGGGTAGCCTCCACGGAAGGCAGTCCTGGAGCAGGGAAGGCGACTCACCCAGAGGCACAGAGGGCACGACCGGGTCAATGGGGGATGGCCGGGCCTTGACGGGGATGGGCGTGGTGGGGCCGTTGACCATCACGTGGCCTGGAGAGAGAATGGCAGAGTTACAGAGTGTGGTGCATGGATCATACTCAGCACCAGGTATCCCACCCTGCAGAACCGACCAAGGATCCCGACCTCATGCCCACCCTGTAGAATCAGCTGGGGCCCCCTATGGCCCTGACCCTCCAGAATCAGCTGGTGAGCCCCACCCTGAACCTGACACTGTGGTAAGGGATGGACATCATACCCCTGGCCCTGAATCCCTAATAGGTGGGAGCTCTGCCCACTGGGGCCGATCCTGCAAGACTGGACTGGGACCCCACAGATGGCGCCGACCAGCATTCCCTGTAAACTGTGCACTTGGACGGCTGCCCAGGAAAGACTCAGCTGCCACCCAGCTGATCGGCAGAGCACTCACAGCCACCCACAGCTGCCAGCATGTGTTTCCACTGGTGGTGCACATCCGCACATGCCTCAGTGCACAGAACACAACTTATTCCATACATGGATGGAAAAAATTAGAGGGAACATTAGCCAACCCACAGTACCAGCTGAGGATCCCCCTGGGGCATGGTACTGGCTGGCTCCTGCCTCCTGGGCCTGCCCCGCAGTATCAGTCGGGGATCTTACTCCTGGTGCTCACCCTACAGAGCCTTCCTATGGCCCTGTGGGACCACAGCTGCTTGGGGCCCAACCCCATGGTACTGCCTGGGGATCCCAGCCATAGGCCTGAGTCTGTGGTCCCGGCGCAGGCCGTGTACCAAGATAATGCAGCAGCTTCTGGGCCCTGTTCTGGCCGGGGCGTAGGTTGAAGAGGTCGGGGTTCTCGTCAATGAACTGGGTGTCCACCGTGCCCCGCAGGAACTGGTCATTGCTCAGCACGTTCTGCAGGAAGGGGATGTTGGTCTGCGGACAAACAGTGACAGGCTGTGAACATGGCTCCGCATCTGAGGGGTTAAATCCCAGAGACAGATCCCCCAGCCCACGGCATTACTCCTTTCCCTCCTGGCCCCAGCAAGCCCCCAGCTGGAGCTACCGGCTAGGGTGGCAAAGATGAGACCTAGTGCTGTTTATGCTAGGGCTGTCTCAGGGGTGTGGATTTTTTCACTCCCTGCCCCACGAGTGATGCAGCTGGTTCTGCTATGTTTTAGGTGTAGCCCAGGCTGGAGGCTCCAGGAAGAAGGGAGCTTCCCGGAGTGATGCTGCCTGAGTGTGCAGGGAGACTGAGCCGATTGCTCTGAGGTAGGGAAGCAGAGCCAGCGATGCCTTCCTTCCCCAGGGGATGCTGCCCAGGCCTGATGCCAGGGTGATGTACCCCAGGAGAGGTGGGCTGGAGGAGAAGCAGGGTCTTTGCAGCTGGGTTATTAAAACCGTGTGCTCCCTTGGAATCCGTTGAACTCAGTGCTCCCTGCTCCCTGCACTCAGCTCTCACTGCACTGTGATTACGGCTCAGACAGCTAAGGCCAGATCCAGGCCCAGCTAGTGCAGGAAGTGACAATGGCTGCTGGGCTGGAGCAGAGGGTGCAGAGCATCAGGACTCCTGGGTCTCCCCAGCTCTGGGAGGTTAGTGCTTAGAAATGGGAGGAGGGAAGGACCCCTGGCTTCTATCCTTGGCCCTGGGAGAGGCTCACCATCAGATTGGGGGGAGGAGGATGGAAAGCAGGATGCCTCGGTTCTATTCCCAGCAGCACAGCCCTCCAGCTGCCTGTGACCTGGGGATGGGGAGGGGCATCAGGACTCCTGGGTCTCCCCAGCTCTGGGAGGTTAGTGCTTAGAAATGGGAGGAGGGAAGGACCCCTGGCTTCTATCCTTGGCCCTGGGAGAGGCTCACCATCAGATTGGGGGGAGGAGGATGGAAAGCAGGATGCCTCGGTTCTATTCCCAGCAGCACAGCCCTCCAGCTGCCTGTGACCTGGGGATGGGGAGGGG